CAGAAACGCACCCACGATTTGCATCTTGGGTGGTGGTTGAGGCTACAGATGTAGTGTCCAATCGACGTTATTACAAAGAATTTTTAATTAATGCTGAACATAAAATATTTTTGTTTGTTAACATGCATTTAATATTTATAACGTTAACAACGTATATATTGAGCGACTTTTGATAGCACAGAAAATTAAAAATAGTAAAAGCTGTATTTTTAAATATGTATCTTGTCTTCTGGTAGTCTGAACCCTCTTCTTTGTATGTAGATGTGTGTTTGACGAGTTATTGCATTGCTTACGTGTCTCGTACTGGACAAATTGTATTATTCTTGAAAAATTACGTATAATGATCCAATCTATATACCACGCTGTATTCTTTTACTTTTTTATTTCATTACCAATGTATGGCAACTTCATTATACAACTTCTGCATTAATATCGTGGAACATTTATTGGTATATTTTTCCGAGGATGATCAAAACAGTTAAATGTGTTTCACAAGAGAGCAGTTGATGGCGTGCAGACTCTGTGCTTTTAAGCTTTTTCTCGTCTCTGGCAAGTAACCGCCTTTGGCACCGCTGCCGCCATCTCCGTTCCCCGCTTCCCTCCCGCCGCGCGGGCGACAAATCCGCACTCTCATTACACGCCGCCGCGACGCCTCCCTCGCGGCTTCTTTTAACGCCCTCGCTCCCGGCGCGCGCACCAATCGATCGCCCGCCGCGCCCCGAGCCCCTCGTCTCTGCCTCGCATCACGCTACTCCGCTCCCCGCTCTTCCTATTCAGTTCCCGCCTCCTCTCCACGTAGCCGTGCTCAAATGTTCCGCCCAGTTTCGGCTCGTCTTGTCCGCGGCCCAGCCTTGTCGCAAATCTACCTCTTCGTCGCTCTGAACCCCCCCAGTCCGCATTGGGACTCCTCAGCCAAATACCGTCCCTTCGCATCCTCTCTCCGTTCGCAATTCTTCCTGATCACGCTCTGCTCCTGTTTGCAGCTCGCTGTGCTCTGTCCGTAGACGCCCTTCTCGGTAATCTACCCATGTCTCCTGCTTCTTTCTTCCTTCTCCCTTTCACCGCTCTCGTTTCTCGTCCCTAACCCTTTCGTTTACTAACCCATTCCAGTTCCCCGACATCTCGTTCTGGTTCCCGGCCCGTAGCCTTTCAGTTTACTACATACACCCTTGCTCCCTGGCCCTAACCAGCTCCACTCACACAACTACATTCTGCATATCGTTACCGATCTGCCAGTCACGTTCTAAGACGCCGCACCTGCCCCTTGATCCTCGCGTGACCTTCCCGTCAAAATTCACTTCTCCGCGGGCGCTCAGGTTCAACGGCGACGGTCACAGTGGAACAGAGTTTGGCTGACTTTCGGTCGTCCGACCGACGTCGGACGTTTACGTCCGATATACAAATTCGTTCAAACGCGTGCTGCTAAATGGAAATGAACGTATTGGACCCGAACGACCTCTTCCGATCAGCTGGAGAGTCAAAGCTATCTGTAATACCAAGACTAACAAAAATGTTTCTAACAATTAACTGCGTAATTATGAGAATATTCGGACGATTTCGGATGAAATACAGTATACTTCGATTTTTTTATGTGACCGATAACATTAAGTCATTGGCACACCTCCTGCCTTATAAAAATAATATTTTTAATTAATTCGCGGACGTCCTACTCAATGGGACTAGCGCCCTCAAAAATGTGCTTACCACTGTTGAAACGATTTCGTTCGCAGTCATCCGATAGCCATATTTCGATATTTCGGATGAACTGCGACCCTAGCCTGAGACGACGCACCTGTCCCATGAACTCAGCGACACCTTCCGCCCAAAATTCACTCGTCCGCGGCCGCTGCCTAATGTGTATTAATGGGCGCGCCCATCGGGCGTCCCCGCAGCCGCCGCCGCCGCCGCCCGCGGGCGTTGTGCGCCGCGTAATGGATCGCCTTCCGAGGGCCTTCGCGCGCCTCACCCCAGATCAATCATGTGCACGTGCGAGCAGCTGTCGCGCCACTTCTTTCCTGCCTCCCCACCCCCCTTCGGTCGTCGGCGTCTCCTCTGCGACCGCCGCCGCCGCCGCCGCCGCTCTCGGAAAGAGGAGGCGTGGGCGGCGGTGGAGGTCGACGAGTCGAGGAAAATGGAAGTTGTTGACGCGCGATTTGTCGAGGGTGACGTTGTTTCTGGACCGAAGGCGGAGGCAGCGGCAAAGGCGGGGGAGGTTTCGACGCCACCGCGGGTCTCTGCCCTCGACACCCCGTCTTCACCCCTGCCCCCGCCATCGGTTCTCGACCCAGTCTCCGCCCCTTCCGTGTGTGTGTGTGTGTGTGTGTGTGTGTGTTGCGATAGCAGCTGCTCCTGAGGGCGCGAAATGGACGGGAAACTTTCTCGCGAGAGTTTTCACCAGCGCTCTGTGTAATTGGACCCATACGTTTGGCGGAATCTCTCGTAATAAAATGTGCCATATTATATATTTGCCTGGTTCGCAAGTCGGCGGAATTGTAATCCAGTTCTCTGAAGTACCTTCTTCCTTTTAGGTGGACCGTAACAAATATCTATAAAATTGTAAAATAGTAATTGCTATCCTACTTTTCATTATCAGACCCTTTTTGTTTCTTGAATTATAAATTTACTATTATTTCCTCTTAAAAGTAATTAATGTATTGTAATGAATGGGATGAATCGCCTCATTTCACAGTTTAACTCAATATGTGAATTTTCCCACTGAGATTATATTGTTTAAACATTTGTGTTAAGGAGGCCCGTGTCATGAATCTTTCGTACTACAAAAAGATCAAATGAATGTGATTTCTCACCCTGTCAAACAGATACTCTTCTGTATTAATCCTTCAAAATCAGTGCTAGAAGTTGTTTTTGCCCATGGTTGCCTCTCCCAGTTACGTTGTTTCCAGAGCGATCATTTTTCTCAACAGCCACTTTCTTTTAATACATTTCTGCCCATGTGAGTTTCTGTAATTGCGACAATTTTTCCCAGTAGAGATACCCGGAAAGTTCTTACGAGCAGCCCGTCGTCCCCATCTCAGGCAAAAGGCGCCCCCATTCAATTACCTTTTGCCTTCGCTTCCGACGACGCACGGAGGGGCTCATTTACCCACATCCGCAAAAACGGCCCTCGCTCCGGGAGAAAAATGACGCGGGCAACGGCCACATGGAGAAGCTTTCCTGAACGACGTCCTTGGGAGTCTCCTGGACTCCAGGCAGCATGCGACGCGTTTTAGGCTATTTGTATGGTGGCCGCGGTTGGGCCACGTGAAATGAAATTCCTCGAGCTCGTACAAAAATTATATACCTTCACGATTGTCATGAAATGCAAAAAAAAATGAATGTCTCTCTCTTATCACCACAAAGAATACTATTTTATCTTTACTGTGGGTTATTTTATGTTCATTTTACATACAAGGTAATAGTTCGTCTCACTTATTCGTGGAAAAACGCGTGAATTAACTACTTAAATCTATTATTTCGTATTCTATATCTATAAAACCATGGAAGGAAATAAAAGATATTGTACGATAAAGATTAGGCTGAAGTGGTTAACTACACACATTATTGTGTTTTTTTTACCTTGAAGTACATAATGAACCTTAGGAGGAAAATCTATTTTCCGAAAGTTTTGCAAACATCTCAATGGTCTAATTCTGTCCAACGACCAGGCCTCATGAACCTGTCTTCATTATATTAGCGCGACTTCGATTAAAACCGCCCTCAAACAAAATTATTATTTTTTACTCCTATCATTTCTTCTGTGCCCCGGCGATAATCGTACACGAACGTGTGAAGTACGTTAGTAACATTAAACTGGATTGGTGAATATGGTGTTGCCGTTGTCGTTACACACTTGAAATTCAACTGGACCGAGAAAAAAAACGCTCTCTGCCTCTGAATCCGCCCCTGAGATACGCCTGTCTCTAGTACCAATATCAATCCGCCCGGAAAGGCGCAATTCATTGACGGGCGGCGGCGATGGCTGCGTCTAAGAAGTCGCGAGGCAGATGGGGCTATTTTTCTCTGCGAGCGCGTGCTCCCCGACGGCTTTTTGCGCTGAAGATGAGGACGGGGACGAGGACGGAGGCGGACGTGACCCCGCGAGGACGGCGCGGCGCAGCGAGCAATGGCCAATCATGCAATATGCATGGTTATGCGACGGCGAATAGATGTCCTGGCGCGCGTCTGGAAACAATCGACTGATTTAATGCCGGAAACGTTTGCTTCCTTCCGCTTTGGAATCCGCCCCCCCTCCTGAGAGGAAAGTCAACTTGAATCTTCTCTTCTAAACATTGGGGGGAATTTTTGTAGCGAGGACCGGTCTCGTTTTCGTCGAGACGCTGCGAGGATATTTTTCAAAGTGTTTCTTGTTTCTTGTTCCTTTCGACCTTCGCGAAGGGGAATGGTAGCACAACGTAGGCTCCGCTCTTCGCTGTGTTTTTATTATTTGTTTGACGTTCTTACGAAATGGTTTCGCACTAGTTTCTAGAAGTGTGACCTGATTTGTTCTGTCCGTTTCTTGTGGGCGGCCCGTGGCGAAATGGTCAGACTGCTCGCCTTCCAACCTTGTAGACCGGGGTTGAATTCTCGCTTGAATCATGTGGAGTTTGTAGTGGGCAAAATGGGTTTTCTGCAAGTTTTGTCAGTGTTCTCACGTTTTCCTTGCCTCTCGTTCCATCATTGCTCCAGCATTTTCAAAAACATCTACATTCCAACCACTTCCAGAATTCCAGGTATCATGGGTAATAGCATCGTTACAAAGAATACACATTTCATGTGACTGAATTAAATTGGTTTTGGTTCGTTGCAGACAGTGTGAATTTATTTTTTCTTAAAATTACGCTTTCTGAATGTTTAACGCTATCTTCCACTTCATTACAACTGCAGAGTGATAGCAGTGAAGTTAAGTACATTGCGAACTAATTTATTTGATATTATACCTTTACAGGTATGGTGTGACCAATAGTATTATTAAAAATAAGTTATAAATTAACATTTTTCCATTAGTAAAGATTTGTAAAATTCTTAAAGCTATTTATCTAAAATAAAAATATAAATTCAATAAAATCTTACAAAATTTACTGAAGTTTTAGAGCTACTCCCAGCAATTGAATAGCTGGAGTTTTATTAAATGTTCAATTGTTTGGAACTCCTCGCACAGCTTGAAATAATTAAAACCAGACGTCACTGAAATGCTGTTTTCGTAGGTTATTTTTACGAAGTCCAGCGCAATCTCTCTCAACCATAAGAGAAAATTCTTCGTCGGATTGAAAACCGAATAACTTCTTCTCAGAGTCAGCCAAACGTACATTCACTTTAGATTAGCGATGTATTACGTTTTCTGAATAGTCCCTTTTTGAGAACAAATTAGATTTCCTAATTACAAACTGTTTTTGAGAAGGTACCACTTCTAAGGCATTACGCTTGTCTTGAATTTTCCGTATTTTCAATAGTTGCTTGCGTCTGCAAACGATTTGCTTTTTTCGATTGAATCTAATGCAATTGGCATTGTAATTCAAAGTCTTATTTCTATCCTCGTCTGATTTCTATCTTTCCCTCAGGTATTCAGTATTTTAATTATTTTTGTGCCAAATTTCTTAAAGGATGAGGGCGACTGAATGAAGGAAAATGTACTCGGTTTACTGAAGAGTTTTAAGAAAATGAATGAATGAGATGACTGTATGGAGTGGAGTGGTTTAAATCTTGTGCTTTGGAGTGCACTGTGGTTTTATAGAGCGATGGAGTATATATTATTCTTGTCTGTATATTTTTCTACAGAACAATATTCCCTCAGTACATATTAGAAAATTGATTTTTCGACGACTTAATGAGTTCTCAAAATATTTTAATGTATGATACAATATCATTTTGATCAAATATATACTCAGAATATTTGATTGCAATTTAAGTGAATACCTTAAGTACAGTGCGCCAAGAAAGTCTCACCGCAGTGGCACCATGAAGATGAGTGGTAGCAACAGGAAATTATGTTGGTATCAAGAGCCCCAGGCAATGCTGGGACCGTCCGAAGGCGGGTGCAGAAGCAGTGCGGGAGGGGGGCAAAAATGTCGGCAACGAAACTCAGGGCGGAAGTGGAGGCGACGGCAGGTCCTGACCCGGATCTGTGCGAAGAGACTTTTCTGGGGCGTTGCGAACGTAGCTCCTACGGTGGATGGTGACTTAAGATGTTCTCTTCGATTATCTTCTGAACCGATACGAAAATTGACACGCAGTTTTCGCTAAAAAGAATAAATGCAATGGGAATGTATGATGGGGTGTAATATTACACTATGCATTTTTACTTTCTCGCATACGACTTACGTAGTACAGAGAAAGTAATATGCTTATACATGTTATATAGAAAATTACTTCCCAACACGGTGTGTAGTTAGAATTCACGAATTGTGTGTCCTTGATTCCGAAAAATTGGTTCACGACAACACGTCTGTGATCAATAGGGCCTGAATATTTCACACATTTTATCTACTTTTTGCACTTAACTATTGTGTTTTTTTTATTTTGTTTGTTGTATGTACCCTTTATTTTAAACATTAGTACTGTTTGTTTTAATTTTTGTATTTATACTTTTTGCTTAATTGACACGGAGCGTATGCTCATTAGCAGTAATAAATTGTTTTATTATTATTATTATTATTATTATTATTATTATTATTATTATTATTATTATTATTATCATATCCGTAATTTATTCAGTTTACTCCAAAATAGATATTCTCCGATCGATCTGAATGACCTCGAGGTCCTGCAAGTTTAAAATGAATATTCTGATTATTACATAATGCATGTGTCGAACATTATGTAATACTGAATGACTCGAAGTCAATCATATTTTCAAAATGTCCTCAAAAATGATTCATTGTTTTACAATTGTTTTCTAGGAAAGAGTGAAGAGCTCTTAAAAATGGTCTAGGTCTAATTTTCTTAGAACTTTTTGAATATTTGAAAAATTGCAAAAGTTATAAATAAAGCACGAAAGTAAGTACTGTTGTGGCACCACTAGTTTATTGAAGAGTTAATGACACAGCATCGAATTATTATATGGGAGCCTGTACCATTAACAACCATTTATGTTGCTCACGACAACGAGCTAGAAGTTGCAAAGGCATAGCCTCGGATTTAAAACACCTAATCTTCAAACTCAAAAATCTGTATGTCTTCCTTTTGCCCCACAAGTGCTGCCGCGTTCTTGACAATGCAGTCAAATCGAAACCACTCACCGCCACCTCCCTGCTGGTGCTGCGGCTGGTGGCGCGCGCCGCCCACATGTTCTCCGACCCTTCCAGGCTCAGGCTGGAGCATTGCGATCCCAGGCGGCCGCGGCCGCGTTGCTGCGGCGACGGCTGGTGGTTTTGCTGAGGCACAGTCTCATCTGTATTCGACTCGTTGAGGAATGTCGTCGGCTTTGTACCGTTCATGATCCATCGACACAAAATCCCTTAAGTAATGGATGGAACATTACCCCTCATTCTCGCATCAAACAATTAAAGAAAGGAAAAATAACAACTAAGTTGGCGGAAGATGATTTAGGGCGAAATGCAGAAGCACATGCTACCCGAAACACAAGTTACACTGAAACACATTTTACCATCAGCATCGGGCATAACAAAAAAAAATGATAAGTTAGAGTTCCTCAAAAGTGAGTTTTCGTTTACACGAGTTATATTTATAATACCGGTCTTTGCAGTATGAGATCTTTCTGGACGTTCTGTTACGCATCTTAAAGATTCCGTAAATACGTGAATGCCTGCGGGGGGACATGAGAAAGATATGATGAAAATGCGGATAACAGTGCGAAATCGCCGAGAAAAGCATGATGGTAAAATACACTATTTGTACGGGAAAAACGTGGCATCATGTGAAGAACAAATGGGCCCCGAGTTATTTTTCTTAAGGCGTATTCTGCAGTATGAGACCTTTTTTTGCATATTCGATTACAATTTTTGGAGATTTAATTCTTTTTATTATCTCCAATTGTAGCATACAGAACAGAAACTCGAAATCTATGAGAAATTAAATTGAATAAATACAGAAAAAATCTTCCATAATTGACTATATGATTTTCTGTACAATTAAGTCCTAATATTTGGCAATATTAGAAAATTTACTTGCGCGCAATACCGGATCTGTAATGCTGTAACATATAGCCCAGGATCTCGCTGTTCGAAGTTAGGATTCAATATTACTTTTAAAACGATGATATACATAGTGGGAAACTTTCGCACGTGTTCAGCTGGTGGTTATTTTACGGGTTAGAATAGCACGAAAGGCTTTTGTTGTTTTTATAGCTTAAAATTCTGTGGTATCTGGGATAAATTGTAATTACCACCATGAAAAGTCACGTCCAGCAACTAAAATCTTATTTAATTTAAATTCTCATTTCGGCATTCCTTTATTACTGAGGTTGATGATTATCACATTTATAAAACACGATCTGTATGAAAATGCACGGCAAACATTTTTTGTTATGTAGTATTTTAAACACTAAGGATTTTCATTTAGAAATAATTTTAATCTTTCTACAGAACCAAATGTCGCGTTTTTAGCTTTTAATGAAAGGTAGTTACTCCAAATGTGTTATTGCTTGATTTTATTAACAATTATTAAAATAAAAGCAATGTAAGTTAATAAAATCGTAAAATTAGTAGAATTAACGCTTATTTTCCGTCATTTGCTCACTACGACGTTTGGCTGTGTCGACGTCTTCCTCAAGAAGGGTTTGTTTCAGAGTGGGCAAGCGTGTGTGACCGTGAAGTTATAGTTTGCAAAGCAAAGATAGCATTTTGTAAAGTTCGAAGACTGATTTTAAAATAATTCTATGATATTCAGTAATTATAAAAAAATATTCAGTAATTATAAAAAAAATTCAGTAATTACAAAAAAATATTCAGTAATTATAAAAAAAATTCAGTAATTACAATTATATGTGGTGCATTACTTTTGTAAAATGAACTGGTTATTAGGATTTCTTTCTATAGTTAAGTACAACGTACTACATGTCTAGATTTTGATAAATAAAAAAATATATTTTCAGAATCATAATCATATATATGTTCGTAGTGAATAGTAATTGTAATGTTACAGCATTTGTAAACCTACTTCATTTCATTAGTCTTAGAGGACAACTACTGAATCTCATCACAATGTATTTTATCTCCAAATATTTCTTAACATTATTATGACAATTTTGACTTAGTACAAAAGAGAGAAATCTCATTTTCATGTTCAGTTCATCATTGCTTCAGAATCTAATAGGCTGCATTTCAATTGAGGACATCACGCTCTGTCTCCATTTATGTGATGTGATGTTTTGCTGCTCTTTCACCATAGTAAGCGTCGAGGGCAGTAAACGAATATTCGGTTCATTATCATGGGACATTTAGTCTCAAGTGCTATAATTTATACACTATTTTTGTTATTGGTCCCAAGGTTTAATATTAGGACTGTTCTGTAGGACTGTCCTCTAATCAAATACCGATTTCTATCACTGTAACACTCGTCGTAGTAATCAGATTCATTGAGTGTCAAAATCAATCTCTCACTACAAATAGTTCTCATATCACAATATACATGAACGTTATTTTATAACACATTGCTAATCACGTTAAACGATTAAAATTGATTCAGAAGTTTAAGTACCAAGTAAAATATTTTTTTGCTCGACAGCTGTTTCCATATGCCGAGCATCAGAATTTTTTTTATTATTAACCCATTTTCTTACACAGTGTATTAGTGCTTTACCAGAGCATTTTGACTTTCATTATATATAGCGAACATACCGTTACCCTTAATATGAGCGAGGCCATTTTCTCTGGAGTCCTCAATTTCAATTTTCTTATTATGTGGTTGGGGTGATTTGGAGGAATGGTAGAGGGTTAGGAAATATCATCATTAGGTTAGAAGAACAAATGGGTTATTCAAGTGGTCTGAATTTATCCTTGGGAAATCTGTATTGAATTCTCTGTTGGGTGTAGGATCTTCTAAGTTGGAAGGAGGCAGGAGAAGACAGTAAGGTTTGGAAAATTATATCGGAAAGTTTGGAAAGGAATTGGGCTGTTGTGGATGGGTCAAATTCTCTTTGCAGTTGATTATTAGAAACAAACAAAGGTGATTTTGCAACAATACGAAGTATTTAGTTTTGAAAGGTTTGAAATGGTTGGGGCAACACCTCGCCAAATAAGGCAATCATAGTTAGAAGTGTGCGGGTGGCCGCGTTGTGAATGCTTTTCTTTAAGTTTCCCTGATTCTGTGATCGAATGCTGATCTGCCCCCTTGTTTTGCTTCAGGACATTATTGTTGCTTCATTTTCTGTGCACGTCTTCTAGAATTGAGTGATAAATATATTTATTCATATTATCGTTACCCATGTTCTCGCGACAGGAAGAAGATTCCTTCACGAAGGACACTATATGGGATTACAACCCAAATCTGCAGCTAATTTGCAAATTTGTTTAATACATTGTAGCCAGTATTTTCTTATCAATTTTTACCAAAGACGCTAATTTCCATCTGCATTCATAACTCAACATGTATATGAGGTAGGGTAGGGATCCTAGAATTTAACAAAACGTGAACGGAATGCACTTCTCACTCCAGAAGATCACAGAGCTTTTAACTGTTTTTGACTTTAAATAAATAAGTAAATAAAATAAAAACTTAGTGGTGACGATAGAGCTTTAGTTCATTATTTTAACTGTGCCATTTTTTTCTGTACTTATAAGAATGGTACTGCGAGTATGGTGTACAATTAGGCGCAAATCCATATTTCTTCGCAATATAATTTCTTATGAATACGGATAGAGATCATTTGAGGAAACATTTATGCCATTATTGATTTTTTGCTGAAAACGGAATACTTGCAATCTGCTATGTTTAGGATTAAGCCATTTTCAATGAAACGCAGGATAGTTTCATTATGATGGCTACAATTATGATCATCATTAAATAGTTCCAAGTTATCAGCATGTTTGAGATAGTTATTGTTTTTTGAAATGATTACTTGGTCTTGGATTTGACGGCGTAGGATTCTTATGTTGGAATTGTATGAATACCTTCAGTGTCTCCTTTTTTTCTGTCTCCAAACTTAACAAAATCATGTGTTAAGGTTAGATTGTTTATTATTATTATTATTATTATTATTATTATTATTATTATTATTACAAATGATCGTTGTTTAAGGATGTCTGTTAAGTATCTATGAAGTTAACAGCTATAGTTAACAAATGCGAATGAAGAAGCATTGTCAAAATTGTCATTACGTAACTGCCAAAACTTACAACTGTAGCGAGGTGTTGAATTGTAAATTATTATTATTATTATTATTATTATTATTATTATTATTATTATTATTAGCAGCAGCAGCAGCAGCGGCATATTCACTGCTCTTAAACAGTAAAAAGGCATGCGCATGGAATAAAGGACCCTCCCATTTGTTTGGCGTTTTCTAAATTTAAAATGAACATGAAATCGAGTGTCCTCCTCGAGTTACTGCCGAATCAGCAGGACACTCAAGATTTTATGGTCTATAAATTCTACGAAAAATCCTTCTCGTCAACCACACACACGCGGACCCTCGCACGGCCGTCAGGCTGTAAATCTCCCGCACGGCAGTACAATGGCGTCATTAACACAACGCTATTGTTTATCAATTGAAACGCTTTTCTGTGCGCGGAACAAAAGAGAAATTACCAGGAACAATTTATTTCAACATCGACAGGTTCACTGTAATAGATAATACTGCTCGATCCCTTTTAAAGGGATTTAGAATGGACCTTCCTCTTAAACAGTTCTTTGGCAGATATTGTAAAGTTTGTAACATTGCTTACTTGCGTGGAACTGTTGCTGCGCTGTTTACTTAGGTTATTCTTGCTAGAATTTTTTACAGCATTGGGATTTGTATTAGTATTAGCATTAGTATTTGAAGGACCTCCTTGTTTAACCTTGTCTTTCACTTGTGGTGTTGTGACTCTTCCCATAATCTTTTGTGCTGTAACAGCGAAAAGTTAATACAGGACTCGTGCATGCCACAATGTTTCTTCATTCATAATCTTGTAACACTGGCTATAGAAATAGTCACTCCGAGTTATTTCGTATTGTATTAATACAGAGTAAGCAACATGGTAGTACCTGTGGCGCGTGTACTACTTACCGTTTTTTTCATTAAACCGACTTAGTGGAGCCCTGGAGAATGACATATTCTTAATTTAATAAGTTTTTCGGAAAATATAATGAAAATTTGATACATTTATGTGCCAAATTTTGGAACCCCTAAATAAAAATTATCGTGGCACATATTTAGTCAGCACTGTAACTAGGAAACGTGACGAGAACAAAGTAAGCCTATTTTCACTTCATTTGTTCGTAATCAAAACCACAACATAACAATGCGCGTTCATGGATTTGATCTTAGAGCGAGTGCGTATACATACATTTTAATTCAGTTACTACCGATTCTACCTCAGTGTTTCACTGAAGAAATATTTTATGAATTTTTAACAGAAAATATAGTTGTTTATAAAATATCGTTCATGGTCTACAATACTCAATAAATACATTTTTGAAATGAACGATTTAATGGTTTCACTGGATAGTTGATATTCTGCTACACTTAATAGTAATTACTGTATAGGTAGGCGTATCATTGTCCATGTATTAAATAAGAGCATTCGTACTACCATATCATTTTGAAATTGTATAAGGAAGCATGTCTCAACTTTAAATCTTGATGTTATGAAATTATTTATTTTGTCTAAAACACAACTAAAATACAATATTTTACTAATTCTGTAATCACAAAAACAAATAAATAATATTATGCTCCCACTGTTCTATTTAAATACGATTAAATAGAATCTTCGTATGCTGGACTCAATCGAACAATGGAAGTTCTCTCATTCTCATCTCGTATTCGACTCGTGCCTTTCTAATAAAAAATGTAATAACGTCGCCCTGGAATATTGAACTTTCGGAATTTCGTTTGTTGCGTTTTCGTACATGGTGCATTGAAATGCGTACTCAATATTGTATTTTTCTGATTTGCTCCGTATACGTGGGTCAGACGCGCGCGTACAGTTTCGTGTATCTTTTTGTCACTAACAGCTTTGAAATTGTGTTGTCGTCGGAACACAGCGAATCCTAAAAGCGTAATGACTAATGAAAGAACAACGTGTGAACGCGTGACACAAAAAGAGCGAAACGTTATAATCATTAATTCATTCGAAAACGTTATGCATTATTAGCCGGCCTGTCATCTGGGGGAGAGCGCGAGAACCAGCCTGCTCTGGTGTCGGGGCTGCGAACTAGACGCGGCGCATGCCCAGTCGGTGGCGGCGGCGGGGGCGGCGGCGCGCAGCGTTGTTTTAAAGCAACGTGCTTTGTTAACTGGAGCACAGTCGCGGCATTGGCTCGCACGTGAACGTACGGGGAGCAGATCGCTGCGCTACTGAATCTTCGCGACAAGGTAACGTACGCGGCGTCAACCACGCGGCGTGTGAAAGACGCGTTGACATGCGGAATGCATGAACGTCCGTTCATCTGCATGTGCACGTCTTCTAGTTGCAGTTTTTTAACAACAATTTTCATTATATTTTGTCAACTATTTTTCGTTATTTAATGTACTTGTGTTCAGTTTGTTTTACTGTGTATTTACATAGTAATATTGTCGCGTTTTCCATTTGTATTACGTGTTTGGCTTTTTATTGTTATGTTAAAATAAAATGCTATGCCCAAAATTTGTGACAGCGTCTCAGTTGGTCTTCGTTTCATTCAAAGAGACGCGATCCTAAGTTGTTTTTACTGAACGCACGGAATGTTCTCAACCATCTGTTGTTCCAACTTTTTGTGAGTGTTTTGCGTCGAGTCAGGGACGCGAAGACGATCCTGAAGTTTGTGCAAAGAGTTTTGAAACAGCAATAACTTCAGAATCTCTAAAAGAACTCCCACCAGAGTCTTAAAAATGTATTTAATTCTATAATCATGTACATGGATTTCTTTAAAGTAATTTAATGGTAATTTATTTTTATTAAGGATACCTAAACTAAATTTAGAAAGTACCAGTAAATGTTCTAAAGAAAATATTAAGAATGTAAAGTTTCTTGTTTTTCCTATGATGTAATATTATTTGAAGTAGATTGTTCCTTTTTTTTGATTTGTATATTATTTTTCTTTCTTAATTTTTGTTACGCACTAACTAGGGAAAACGGAGATTTTTCAATAAAATATTACAGAAAATATTTGACTGTATTATGTCATCGTATTAATAACACGTGTAGAAAAAAACTCAATAATTTTCTTAAAATTGTTAGCATATTAAAAATTATTAATTATGGCACCTTGTTTCTTTTTTTTACAATGTTTTCCTTTCATTATTTGTTTTCTACAAATATTTTTCTTACAAAGATAAACAAGCACTTATAGTTTTAATTGGAATGTTTTCTAAGAAGTTAAATAGAATATTAGCATTTCATTCAATATTCATTTACAAGCGTATTAATTAGTTTCCTTGAGACCTCTGATTCTAGAAAAGCGGTGTTCTCCGAAGAGAGGCCTTCACACATACAAGTAGAAATGTCGCAACCTGTTGACGGGTTTGGCGGACAAGCGATTTTTCCACACCGGATTGCCGCTCGCGTTTAGTTTATTTCCCCTCCCAGCTCTTCTGAGTCATTCTTGCGAAATAGATTTGAACATTGTAAACAAACTGAAATGATTTCAAAAACTGACTGCGTGACCCAACACGTAGAGGTTTCTTTTCGCGAATTCACACATTTTCAGATATAAAACACTTTGAACAAGTTTCAGGAAAAATGAACCAAATTTCAATTTGCAATTTCAATACGATACTTACCATTAACCTTTTAGTTTCCAACTCTTTATTTTGCTATTGATTCAAACAACTTGTAATAAGTTTTACAATATAGAGCATTTTTATTAATTTCTTGAATATTATATGAATTTTCAAAGGCTAGTGCCTAAAATAAATTTAATTTTAGTAAAAAAAGCATTTTACGTTTTGAAGAAACGGGTTTTAAGAATATACTAGAAAATATATTGTATGAACACTTCACAAATCCAAGGATTGTTTCTGTCAGAATTATCTTGGTTGATGCAAGCGTATCCTGTGATATCGCAAATTTCGTAAAATCTCTCAGGTTGATTGAATTTTTCTTAAAAAATTGACTTATTTTCCCTCAATTGTGTAATTTTGCAGTGTGAGAAAATGAGGAATGAAACATTTATAAAAGTACATTAATTCTATGAAACAGAAGTACAAATGTATTGTAAATATTTTAAATACAATCTTACCACTCTAAAATTAATGCTTATCTCCTGAAAACGTAATAATTGATTTATTAATCCATCCACTAATGCTACTGCATTCATTCGATTTGGAAAAAAAGATCGGGCGACAACTTACAATCAGTCCTGGAGAACGTTCATTTTTTAACACCTTTTGGTCTATTTGACTTTTTTGAAGTCTGAGAAACTAATAAATTTCCACATTTTAGTTTGTTTGAAAGATACTTTATTAGTACTAGTGTTTTGGATTCAACATTTCTTTTGAGAAAATGAATGCTGAATAGTTTAATGAAACTAAAGAGTTTTCACAATTAATTTAAAATAGCATCTGTGGTAAGTAAAGCAATTTGCACAAATTGCCCAACCCTAGATTTTAACACGTATTGGGAGTTAAAACCACCGGGTGTTAAATCATAAATAGATCAAATATCTACGTATTATTCAGGATGAACGAACATGGTTCGCCAGGAACTATAAGGATACCATTTATTTATTTAAATAATTATTTTGGAGGTTTAAAACTCTGCGAGCTTCTATAAGTTAAAGAAACTGTTTGGGAGAGTGCAAAGAAATGCAAACTGTACAGCGAGTTATTTGCTGGATAAAAGAAGGTGCGAGTCGACATGTTTTTGAGAGGACAACATAGTACAATTAGGACACGACTAAGATGATGCAATGTGCTAGATCGCTGAGAGTTTTTTCTGATATTGCTCTAAAATGTCTTTAGTGTCCCTAACACCTAATATCTCTATGATATCGTTGAGCACATTTTGATCTCGCATTATTCTTATGTTGTTCCTCACACATCAAAAGCAACTAACAAGTAAATACCCAAGCTTGTGACACTTCATATATCAAAACTCATTAAGCAATTTAGATGTCACTGTCAAAAAAACGAAGAAAGAGAGAGAGAGAGAGAGAGAGAGAGAGAGAGAGATAGAGAGAGAGAGAGAGAGAGAGAGAGAGAGAGAGAAATTTGCACCATCCTTGGAACAAATCATAACACATCACCAAGTTTTTGTGAGCTCTTTAGAGGTTAGGTTTTCTTTCTGTGGCGTCTCATCTGACCCTGGAGTGAAAGGCCAAGGGCTGAAATCCCGAAGGGGAAAGGGATCTAAAAAAGACAATCGAAGTTAATTCTCGAGTTTGGGGACTTGAATGGTCCTCCGTCGATTCTTCGGTTCAGTTGTCTTGTGCGACGCTGATCTCAGGCGAAAAGGGCAGCAACTCTCCGAAAGCGATCTCTCTCCTCTCGCAAGAGTTCCACATCCTGAGTTCAAAAGTCCACAATGGAGGGGTTCGCCACAATGCGAGCTACCCTTTTCCTCTATGGCACACATCCAGAGTGACAATGGTAGTGGAATGATGGATGTCATCTGGCGAACATCGCGATGATGGGTAACCAACACTTTCAAGAAGGGAGAAGAAGTAGATACAATTCTTCCGAGTACCTCTCTGCATTCTCAAAGACTTCTTTTAACATTGTATTCATAGTTTTAAAATACACAACTTTGCATTTGATAGGCTTTAAATATATTTAGATATTATTTCAATACGTATAGAGCTTATATATTTTTCTCACACTTACTTCGTATGTATTCATACTACATCCGTTTATTTCTATCAAAATATTGATCTGATGCATTGTTTGCAAAAGAAAGAGCCAACCTGTCTTCCAGTTCCCAGACAAATGATCTTTTTCCCAAACCTTCAGATGCACACGTCGTCAACCTCTTGGAATGAACTTTCAAAATTGCTGGTTGCCTTTGTTTGTTTCGTTTATTCCACAAAACCTTGTGGAGGAAATTGTTGCGTTTTCACAAAAAATAGAATAATGTTGCATTTTGAAAATATATTCCTTGTGTAAATTGACAAGCAATTTCGGAATACTACTATA